CAACAGCAGGTTTTGGAAAATTCAGACAAAAATTCAACCTGTGTTCAAGAACCCTCTCTCGGTTCATATATTACCTTTAATTCGAGCACGTTTCATATTCTAAAGCGACACAAAATCTTTAAAAGTCATTTGCCTGTTTTCATTTCGCAGGTCTAGATATTTTGCTTCATATTGTAATTTCCTCTTTTTGAAATTCTATATTAAAGAAATTTCTAATATATTTACTAATGAGCTGAAAGATCCGCACCATTTTGGAAACTGAATTTGATCACACTCGAGGCTATTTCACTGTTTAGAACTCAGGGGTAAATATTCCTCACATACAGAGTTGGTACTCAATGTGTTTTTCGATGATTATCACGAATAATTTTAAGGCAAGTGTGTTTGTGGCCCTTTTGCATTCTCCAGTGATGGCATCCGACAGCTTCAGAGCCTTTCAGTACTCTCTTGCAAGGCGAAAATTGAGAGGTGGTCCTTGCACTTGAACTATCCCAACCATACGCCTGACACAATGCTCTCATCTCGGCAACACATTGAGATTAGGCTGGCCTTCCTTAAGGAGGAATATAGAAATAAAAACAGGGCACTTAGTGGGGGTTTCATATTCCACATTTAGATGGCAATATTCCTTCAGCCTGACACTCTAGGCATTCTTTTATAAACTTAATATCATATTTTGATATATAATAGTTCGATATAATGATGATATCAAGACAATTTTTAACAATAAATTATTCTGAAATGATAATGCTTTAATATTCATATTTTAATTGAGATTTATATTAATAAGATTAATATTCCAATATTGATATATACAATATAACCTATTTATTTTCACAAAGTCAATTAGCATATTTAGAAATTTCAAATGAATGTAAAAATAAAATTATCTGGATAAGAAAACCCATTATTTTGTTAAATGTTTATTTTAAAATATCAATTAGATAGAAAGTCGAGTGTTGTATAAAAAGAGTTTTAAAGAATCTAAAATATATGCTAGACGTATGCGACAAACTAACACTTAACCAAACTACTTATAGACGTTTTATGAGTTATCATATATTAGATATTAATGACCCCATACTCTAACTCTGAAGAATTTAAAAAAGGAAAGAATAAACTGAATTATAAGAGGGAAAAGAAGGAATTGATTAAAGAAAGTAGAATCAGTCAGCGTGTACACACAGCGGTCCATTGGCTGGAAGATTTAACGAGGCTCCGTTACCCTAGCAACGGATTCAAAAACCGATTATAGAGACGTTCTATAACATTTTTAACAAACAACTTTTTTATCATTTTATCTGGATTTACTACGCGATACTCTTTTTACCAAGAGTTTCTTCCCCTGCTCGCCATAAGAGCTAAGCTGACATCTGACAATAGAAAAACTATTGCTACGTTGAACTAACTCTGTAAAAAATACAATATTGTTTGCTCGTTGAACTTGGGGTTTAAATGTATACGAATATTTTATAATGGATGTGTATTTTATAAATATTTAAACTCGCAAAGTATATGTCACTTTGTATCATCGTGTTGATGTTGTAAAAAGACTAGATTTATACATTCTATATGAAAAATATCAAACCTATTATATATATCTTTGGTTTATATATAACCTGATAATATTAGATATAAAATATATTTTCACACCTTGAAAATTAAAGCATATTAATATTTATATATTTATAAGATATCACACCTGGTTGTGTTTTAACATGATGATAAATTGAATATATTTAAGTACTAGCGGATGTGTACCCGGCTTCGCCCGGGTTTTATCCGAGTGAACTAACGAATATTATTGATAATAATTTTCGGAACACACAGAATATTATGATAATAACAATAATAATATTCGGTACATCATATATTTATATATATAAAATATATTTTTCGAGCAAACATATCCACCCTCTCTACTGAATATATTTTTAAAAAGATATATATAAATAAAAATATCTAGATATATACTACATGATCTTAGCCAAAAGGCCGAGAAACGATATTTTATATATGGAGATGACCTCGCTTCGTGTGTCTTCTTCTCGAGTGAATGTTTCGCTGATAGAATTTAGCTCCTGCCTACTAAAAATTAGTATCTGGCTTCGCCCGTGGTCTGCTATAGTCAATATTCCCCTAAAGAATTTTGTTCATGTCAATCAAGCATGATACAGCAATAATTTCATCATCGTTGTTCAAGCGAAGGCTTCATCGCGCTATGTTACAAAAGTTGAAAACACACTTCAAGCGGAGGCATGTATCTCCCCTCACACTGCTAGAGCTCAACTGACGACCTGATGGATTGAAAGGGCATATCCCTCCACCACATTTCCCACGGTTTTACCGTGCTGCTATCTATCGTCGCGTCACAATAACATTATGCTCATTACTTTTATAATGGACCCTGTAACTGCTTTAAGTTTGGGGAACAGGAAAAAGTCATTTGCTGCGATGTCTGGGGAATAGGGTGGTTGAGGTAGGATTTGTGTCCCGTGTTTCGCCAAAAACCCGTCACCAAGTGCGCTGTGAGAGGGCGGGCATTGTCATGGTGTAGGATCCAGTTACCATAAGTCCAATTTTCTGGCTTTTTTTCGAATCGCTTCCCTTAGACGGCGAAGAATGCCCAAATACATATCCTTGATAACTGTTTGGCCTGCAGGAAGATACTCGTGATGACAATGCCCTTGGTATCCAAAAAAGCGACCAGCAACACCTTGTTTCTGGATTTCAATATCCTGGATTTTTTGGGTCTAGGCTCACCCTGACCTCTCCACTCGGCAGATTAACGCTTGGTTTCGGGGTCATAACCATAGACCCATGTCTCGTCGCCTGTGATTATCTTGTCTTTCTATTCCGGATCCGTTCTTGTCATTTCCAACATGTCCTCACAGGTTGCAAGCCGACACAGTTTTTGCTCATTAGTGAGGAATCTGGGGATGAATTTTGCAGGAGTCTTTTTGAGCTTCAAATCTTCGGTTACGATCCTTCCAATCGTTGTTTTAGAGATGTCTGTGTCTTGCTCTAGCTCCAGCAATGTGGTTCGAGGATTTTTTTTTATCAAATCGGTGATTTTTTTCACATTTTCATCAGTCCTTTGAAATCTTGGGCGTCCTTGACGAAGATCATCTCCAATGGAAATTCTGCCAGCTTTAAATCTAGAATGCCATTCAAAAACAATTGTTCTCTTTGGGGCGTCATTGGGGAATGCTTTATTAAGCATTAAAAAAGTTTCGGTTGCTGATATTTGGAGTTTCCCACAAAATTCTATGCAAATCCTTTTCTTCAATTCTTGTTCCATCGTAAAATCGCCACAGCGCTATGTGTAACCTTTAAAAAATTAGAATGACTTTGGGGCGCGTGCACGTACCGCCTCGATTTTGGTACCACCGTGTTGCCAGATATTCTTCCTATTATAAACAGTCAAATTTATTTACATTATTCATTTATTTATTTTTTATGGATACAGTCCGGGAACTTATGGGACATACCTTGTATATTCAAAATTATGGTTGTACCATATATATATGAGCAGTTATATATTATGAGGCAGATAAATATAAATTTTACCTAAACAAATGACAGCAAAATAAAAATCTGAGCATACCCTTAGAAAAAAAAAGCAGTTACTGAAGATGCATAGCTGCTGCTTACAATATAAATGCTATTAGAGCATAAATATATTACATGGAACAAACATATAGAGTAAAATATATTTTGCAAGTTATATAGAGAAAAAACATACTTTTTTCCAATATATATACTTACTCTAAATATAAGAAAGAAAAAAGAATATAGAATACTGTTCTAAAATATGAATATTTCTTATGAGAATCAAATAGTAAACCTCAGCTTAAAAAATGTAAGTCGTTATATTTACACTAATTAAAATTAAACGAAGCAAAAAAAATATGAATAAGCTACGAAATAAATATTATTTCCAATTAATTTAATTTGAAAAACATTACTAAATAACTAAATAAAATCTTACCTTTTAAAAAGGAAAAAAAAGTTATTTAAAATGGAATTTTTGCACTTTTAGCCTAAATGCTAAACCAAAACCTAAGCTACCTACGTGCGAAATTTCACAATCCAGTTTTAATTAACCCAGGTTCCGGGGGCGTAAATATTTGATAACGATCGATTAATATTATTTCCAAAAGGTGAAAATAATATATATATATGACCTTACCTTTTAAAAAAAATCATCGTGTAAGCAAACTGACATTCATCGTGTAAACAAAATACGTGTAAAATTATTACCCAATCAAATTCATTTATCGTCGCGACCAGTGCTGCCCCCAAGCGGTAAAAGCCTGGAACCAAAATCTTTTGGTTTTACATTTTTAAAAAAAGCACATTAAGCTTTTTAGTTCGTTAAATAGCCTATATGTTAAATGAATTTATCAGCTACCTACATGCGAAATTTCTTAATGATTGAATCTGTATATTTTGCGCAACGCGATAACAAACATCGATTTTGGATTTCAATTTTACTGATATAAGGATATACAACATAAAAGGTTTCAGGATAATGATACTCATTCACCATATGAGGTAAGACTACTTTTAAAAATAAAGAAAACAATTAAAATATTGGTTTTTTATTCAAGAAAAAAAAACATAATGAAAGTTATGAAGAATGATCCTCAGTCCCAAGTTTTGGGTCATTTCGACGGATTCTATAATAGCCTTCGTTGAATTTTATAAAATCGAAGCCCTCTCTGTATTAATAAAGGTTTAAACCAGGAACCGTGGCATGCAGGTTGGAGTTTTGTCTGAAATTGCCAAAACTGAGTGTTGTGTCTCATTCTGGTGAATAGTGCAGCGCTGACATGGCCCCCTAATACTTGGAATATTAAGGTGTTTTTACATGGTAAGACATTTAAAAGTGATTCAATTTTGATCAAAGTTATTATAGGGTGGTTCTAAAAGTTGGATAGATCGTTTTAACAGTGTTTCTGCAAGTATACAAATAGCTGAATCAAGTATATACAGAAGGAGCGTGGATATATTGAATAGTTATAATATTGTCGCAGAGATAAATAAAGCAAGGGCAAATTTGGGAATAATTAATTTATTATAGATGGGTATTTACCTTTTAGTTCTCCAATAAAATTATATAAAAGATGTATTTATAGGGAGAGAGAGTCAGATAATATAACAACTTTTCCCAAGGTGAAGATAATAATAATGAGAGTGGTTAGCCACCGAGGCGCCTCCCGTTTTCCTTATTTGCCGATAAGATTCCGAGAACCCCTCACACCTGTGGTCTCCCCCTCCCACCCCGGAGTCCAGGGATGATTGACAAGTGTCCCATGGAGCTTCTTGTGACCGGAGTTGCAGAGCTACTTGACAATATATAGAGGACTGCTAGGAGTTCCTATATTCGTATTTTTAGATTTCTAATTTGTCTATAAAAAGCTTATAACTGATTGTGGGTCATTTATAGACAGAACCTAGTAATATTAATATTTATATATATATTTTATTTCGAAGTTGACGTATAATTAACATGCAAAAAGCTTTATTTTAATTGAAATATAAATTGTGGTTAAAATATAAATATAACGCTCTCTCGATATAGTTTAAAGTTCATATAAATTAAATTGTATTCATTCAAAAGAGTACATTGATCATAAAAATATATATTTTGTTTCATATATAAATTTTTGAAATATTTTTTATTATTTTTACTTTATAGCTTACATTTGATCTTTAGAAAATTGAACCGATAAATATAATTATTTAATTACGATATGAAAGGTTTTAGCAAAATATATCCATGAACAAAACTAAAGTAAGTTATACATTTTAACGTGTATATCGGGATTTAGAAAATTACTCTGAAAGATATTTGATACGCAGTGACCCTTATTGCAAAAAAAAAAAGAAAGAAAAACATGAGATAACAAAGTATAAATAAAACTCCTCTGTTTCCTTTAAAAAAACAGTCAACAATTAACACAAACTTGAGTTTTTCTTTGGTCATGGATTCTCTCTCTCTCTCAATACATGTTATCGAAAAACAATCAGCTTCTAAAGTTCATAGAAAATAGATGAAATGATATATTTTCTGTAAAGCATTCTATGTATATAATGCGTACACATATGTATAAACATTGTATTCAATTTGTAAAGAGAACTATCATCCAAGGAAGGCAGCAGGCGCGCAAATTACCCACTCCCGGCACGGGGAGGTAGTGACGAAAAATAACAATACGGGACTCTAACGAGGCTCCGTAATTGGAATGAGTACACTCTAAACCTTTTAACGAGGATCTATTGGAGGGCAAGTCTAGTGCCAGCAGCCGCGGTAACTCTAGCTCCAATAGCGTATATTAAAGTTGTTGCGGTTAAAAAGCTCGTAGTTGGATCTCAGTCGCGCTCCCTTCGATGCGTTGCAAAGCGTCTATCGTTGGGGCCGACAGCACGTTGGTGGGCCCGGTTGGATTTTACCGGTTGATCGGGTTCTCCGGCAATTTTACTTTGAAAAAATTAGGGTGCTCAAAGCAGGCTGGTGCCTGGATATTGGTGCATGGAATAATGGAATAGGACCTCGGTTCTATTTTGTTGGTTTTCGGATACCGAGGTAATGATTGAGAGGGACAGACGGGGGCATTCGTATTGCGGCGCTAGAGGTGAAATTCTTGGACCGCTGCAAGACGAACTACTGCGAAAGCATTTGCCAAGAATGTTTTCATTAATCAAGAACGAAAGTTAGAGGTTCGAAGGCGATCAGATACCGCCCTAGTTCTAACCATAAACGATGCAAACCAGCGATCCGCCTGAGTTCCTTAAACGACTCGGCGGGCAGCTTCCGGGAAACCAAAGTTTTTGGGTTCCGGGGGAAGTATGGTTGCAAAGCTGAAACTTAAAGGAATTGACGGAAGGGCACCACCAGGAGTGGAGCCTGCGGCTTAATTTGACTCAACACGGGAAAACTCACCCGGCCCGGACACCGGAAGGATTGACAGATTGATAGCTCTTTCTTGATTCGGTGGGTGGTGGTGCATGGCCGTTCTTAGTTGGTGGAGCGATTTGTCTGGTTAATTCCGATAACGAACGAGACTCTAGCCTACTAAATAGACCCACGGTCCTTTGTACCGTGAGCGGGTCTTCTTAGAGGGACAGGCGGCTTTTAGCCGCACGAAACAGAGCAATAACAGGTCTGTGATGCCCTTAGATGTCCGGGGCCGCACGCGCGCTACACTGAAGGAATCAGCATGTGTCTACCCTTGTCCGAAAGGACCGGGTAACCCTCTGAACCTCCTTCGTGATGGGGATAGGGGATTGTAATTATTCCCCTCGAACGAGGAATTCCCAGTAAGCGCGAGTCTAACTATCTGGAATATATAAATTTATTCACTTTTTTCTATCTAACTTTAATGCTCGACAACCTTTATATACCTTGTAAATATGTAGTGTAATTAGAACGCGCTGAAGGAGCTATTTAAATAAATATAGTAGGATAAATATATATTGGAAATAGAACGGTAAAACATATTTCCATATATAAACATCAGATTTCTATATATAATTGAAATTATGTTTATGCTTTGGTGTAGGTATTCGAATAGAAGTAAACTGTTTTTGTTTGTTTGTTTTTTATTATGTGGAGTTCACAATTTTGTATATCTGATTATTTATAAGACAAACATTAACTTATAAAAAGAGTTTGTTGAGGGGTTCGGTAGGTAAGTTGTATCTGATTAGACGTCGATTTACGACTGTTAAGACCTTGAATCGAATCCCGCATAGGGAACTTTTTCTGATTAAATTAATTACTCCAATGGCCCTCAATTATTTCAAAAGTCAAACTCCACCTGTGAGTGCAAGTATCCAAACGGGCCTCTGGTACATTTGTAATTTCAAAATTCGAAATGATTTCTACATGCATAGACATATGGTACATTTACTGTGTAATTAGTCAATAACTACTACCCACCATAATTATTAAAGCCTTTACCAAATGTACTAGGGATAATAAAAAGGTTTTATACAAATATTCGTAAAAGTTATTAGTATGTTGAAAATATTAATAGTACATTTGTAAAATATCTATTTTAACATGAACTTAAACATTTAAATTTATTTCTTCAAAAATAGAGAATCGTAAATATTTTTTTTAATTTGAAAAATACAAAAATGAGAACTATATATATTTATTATGAATATTTTTTCAAATATTTTTATTACATAAATATAATTATTAATTATATTTAACTGAAACATACATAAAATATATTATTTCCATTACTATATTGGGTGAAGCTCTAGCCGAACTTCCAGTTGATCCGAGCAACCAAGTGAAAATGACAAAGTAAGAACTGTAATTTCCCTCGAGGGTTGTGTTAACGAAATGCCAGTAGTAGTTCTTTAGTAACCTTGGTGATCGTATAACATCTTCTGATATGTGTTTTATAGATATTTAAAACCTTTCTAACTTGTACGAAATTTATAATGATTGATTTATTAGCGTGCCTGATAAATTTAATATATTTATTGTATATAGAGTCTGTGCGCGCAGACTCTCTCTCTCTGTTACTCTTATGTGATTAATTATTCATATTCACATTGTGGATGTCGTAAATAATATAAAGATCCTGAAATGGGATTGATTTATCGATCAAATATCTTATTAATTCAGGAGTAATCTCAATTAATGCTTTCCTTTCACAGTCAGTCAGTCACATTGACTATGTTGTAAAGGTATGAACCGATATCATCGGCTATTTTATTAGTTTGTATCCAGCTAAAATTGTAGGTTTTCCTAATTTATTGTTCATATCCATTCTGTTTTGTTCAGAACCTTTTTGTTTGTGTATGGATTCATTATAGATATGTGGTTAAAATACTGTAGCTTATTTTATCTAATAATCCTAATAATCCTTGATTTTCAGTTTGTCATTCCACATTCTTGTATAATTTTACTTGAAGTAATTTTATAATAAATATTAAGGGAATGAAATCTTTTCCTGTGGATGGAATTATTTTCTCAAGTGATTCTACGCTTTTTAGGTATTATAGGTTTGTGCTCTATGATAATTGTTTAGTCATTTTTTTCGAAGAAGATCGTTCCGAATTATTTTTTATACTTATAATTCATTGCGAGTATAAAAAAAGGTAAATCAATTACTAATATCTATGGATATTTATTACTAGCGAGAGAGAGAGACCAAGAAAAGTTAACAATGTGCAGACAAATCTATTATTAAAATAATATACAGAGGAATAGACCATAATGAATATAGTACCACAATAAAATAAATACGTTTTCATCTAATTTACTCCAGGTTGTCCTGCCATATTTACCTAAATGATTCCCTTTTCGCCTAGAAAGGCATGTATATCATGAAGTACAGTCACTACCTGCTCAAGTCTCTATGCCCCTACTTCAGATGTTGACTCTTTATTTCTCTCAATCTAGATGAGTCTTGCATGGACTTCTTATCATTCCATTTTTATAATTTATTCTACAGAATAGTATAAGTGTGGTATAAACCGTCGAAATTCGACAAACACGACCCGGGATCTAACTTCATTTTGGGCGGTTTTTTATTTCGAAAAATATATTGTCTCAATGGCTCCGCATTTTTTCCCAAGTTAACTGCGCCAGAGAATTTAAGCAACTAAACAGGACTTTGACATACCTGCAAGTGTTTATTCCAACTGATTTCTACAATTTCAGACAGGGGGTGCACTTACAGTGGAAGCAGTCGCTAACTACCCAACATACATACACAAAATATAACATTGCCATGTACTTGGACTTTATGCCACCATTGCCATTACTTTGACAAAATAACCCTCTATACAAATAAAGATATAACATATTTATGTTTCCTAGCATCCCCAACTGAAAAATAGATATCTACCATTACAATTGTCTACAAATCTAAGAATTGGCGTATCTAAAGTTACAAAGATGTACTATTCTAGGTAGTTGGCGATCTAAGGATACGCTCCAGGAGCCTGGGTTACCTTTATGTCACTACTAGCCGAATTACCCGGGCAACGCCCGGGTTTTACCCGATTAAATGTTTTTATTCAAATACTATTCGTTACAATTATAAATTGGCGCCGTGGATGTCACTCTTATGAAAGTCCAGCTCCAAACTTTTATGTGTTTTTTTTTTTTAATATAAAAATAAAAATGTAAATTTTCACAACAATATTTGAATATTCTATTATTTTTATTCCCAAATACTATTCGATACAAATATAAATTGGCGCCGTGTATTTCACTCTTGTGAAACATCCTGCTCCAAACTTTGTGTCTGAGAAGCGATATTTTTATAGAGAGACGATCTGGCTTTGTGTCTTCTGCTTGAATGATTTGTTCCATTTTGTTCCTGCATACTAAAAATGAACTGGCTTCACCCGTGGTCTCTGCTTTTTGTAATTTTTCCCGATATAATTTTGCAACTGATAATCAAACATGATGGAGCAAATTTTCTACCTGAAAACAACTATTTTTGCCCACACCTGTCAATTTCAATTTTTATATGCTGAAAATCCAATAAATATCTCTTCCAGATGTTTCTCTATGTCTTGTTAAAACACGTTTTACATGCACATTAGGTCAGCTGATATCACCTCCCATCTTCACGGCTAGAGGCGCTACTTGCAAGCGAAAGGGCAAATTTGCAATGAAATTTGCAAATAAGTCGAAGAATATTCGGGATATAGACCTGGAATTTTCACTATTGAGTTTTTCCAGATTCTATACTATATTATATATACTGTTAAAATATCAGTCAGATTAGCTAGGAATTGTGGACGTGTATAGCCGACAAAAATACACACATAAATACATACATATATACACAATAAATACATACACTGACCTTTATATACATGTATATATATATATATATATACCATGTATATTGTGATTACACGCATACCTTAACACAATATCGAATTAACTGGATTGAACTTTGAAACAATATTTATAAATTTGGTTCAAAATAGGAATATACAGATTAGTCCGAAAACAATCTAATTTGATTATTTCGCCTTTTTTTTTTTGTTTCTCCAAAATATTCGAATAATATTTTCATATTTTTCGGAAATAAAATAGTTGGTTCTTTTCAAAAAATTCCGTATCATAGTTTCAAAACCGAAAAATGCTAATAATTTCTATATCAGGGAATTTTCAATATTATGTTTATTTATTAAACCTATTTCCGACTTATCCGGAATAAAACTCTTAAACATTAAGGTTTATGAATGGAAGTAGTTTAAATAGTTTATATTTAACTATTATAGTTTAAACCAATTATTTTCCAATTAGTCTCCGGATGTAGGATAATTAACATAATCCGTTTGTACAACATAATTTATCACCACTATTTATTCTTTTCCCACTGCAATTCAGACACTTTATGCAGTATGTCGAGAAGGACTAGCTTGCATAGATTCAATTCTTTAATAATATATATATGATTGGGTCTCTCGCGAAAGAGTTATTGTTAAACATTTCTGACAATATGAATATATAAATTAGCAAGAAAAAGGCCAATTTGTATATAACGTTCTTCCGTCTACTTTTTCACAATTTTTAAAAACTATGGATAAAACTCCAATGTGATATAGAGTTATTTTTTTAAAAGAATCCCAACTATCAACACCTCTTTACAATTGTATAGTGTGTACAATTATTTCTTATCATAATTTATATTTCGGTTATATGTGATCTAGGTCTTTTACAGGTCAATTAGCATATTAGATTTGTGCGACTCCACAATGTTTGACTTATCCAAATGGAACCTCGATATTATATAGTGTAGGTCAAAAAGGAGTTATCTTTGTGGATTTAACCTATTCACATTCCATTCCTTCTCATGTAATTAAAACCAACACACTGATATGACGACTATTATTAATAATAAACGCATTTATTAAAAATAATTATAACGGGAAAAACAATTATTCGGGAAGAAGCCAAGTTTAGTTTTCTATAAAATATTCACACACATACACTTCATCTTTTATAAATACACTAATAAATTCTAAATAATATTTCTTATGATTGAAATTATTTTGTATTTGATATTTAAAAATATATTTTATTGTCTATTTAGGTTTTTGTTAGTAAATACTTAGGGCATTGACTTTGGCGGGGAGAGTCTCTGGGCTCCTGATGTACCAGCTAAATATGATAATTGAATACACTTATAAATGCTTCTATGAATTTTTTGAGAGGAAGTTAAATATTAGTTGGGAGAGTTATGGCAGTGGGCGTCCTTTCTAAACCGATCGAGTAAATATCTAGAATTGACAGAGAAGATGGGGGGACAGTGAGATTGGTGAGGGGTTGGTGACCTGTAAAAATTTGTTTACATTCTGAACACACGAATTAGTATAAATAGGATCAACGTTTATATAAATCTCTACATTAAAAATATATTGTACAGAGAATAAATAAGTAGTTAGAGTGATATTAAAGATTAAAATACGTTTTTTTTAAATTCTTTAAGGAGAAAATTAATTATAATATATATATATATATATATATATATATATATATAT